ACACACCAGATGGGAAAGTGCTAGCAAATACGCATACTGTTTTCTCTGGACATGTTGATGCCTGAATCAATGTCCTCCTTTTAAGAAGCATAATAGTTTCCTGTGGCTACCGTAACAAATTACCACAAACCTGGTAGATTAAAACAACCGAAATTTATTTTCTCATAGCTCTAGAGGCCAGACATCCAAAATCAAGGTGTCAGCAGGGCCATGCTCCCTCTGAAATCTCTAGGAGAGAATCCCTCCTTGCCCCCATCCAGCTTATGGTGACCCCAGACATTCCTTGGTTTCTGGCAACATAACTCCAGAACTTCACACAGCCTTCTCTACTGTGTCTCTGTGTCTCAATCTTCCCTTTCCTTACTCTCATACAGACACCAATCATTGGATTTAGGGCCCATTCTAAATCCAAAATAATCTCATCTTAACTTAATTACCTCTGCAAAGACGCTGTGTCCACATAAAGTGACATTCATAGGTACTGCAGGCCAGAACTTGGACATATATTTTTGGGGGACACAATTCAACCCACTACAGGCAGCATATCCAAGATGTCTTGTGGCATTACAAATTGCAGCCATCCCAAAATCATTTTCTTTTCTTTTCCTCATACCCCAGGAACTAGAACTTCAGTGAAAACATGGCCATGCTCACAGGTTTTGACTTAGAAGCAGGGAGGAAAGGCATTTATAAGACCCTGCAATCTGGTCACTATGCTAGGCTGGAAACTCCACACTTGTTCTCTTCCAATCCTGTAAAATAAGGATTGCTGTCACCAGACTGCAGATGAGGTTACTGTGGCTCAGAGTAACCCACCCAAGGTCTCCCAGCAATCTCTGGGCAGGCCCATGTTTGGAGACTGTGTCTATCTGACTACACAGCCTCATACACTGTGTGTACAAGGATATATGGACAGAGTCAGAATAGATGGCTGTAATGTGGCAGCGTTTGGAGAGCTCTTGGGAGGGCCCAGACCATTCCTCACCAGCTTGTTCATGCCTGTTTTTCCTTCACAAGAAACAGCCCCTTCCATTTTATAAATACACATAAGGATGTAACCCAGAGAGGAGTAGTACCTTCTCTGAAATACATGCCAAAAGTAGACCAGGTCCTTTTCAGGAGCAGATTTGATCAGAAAAAGAAAAGACAGCAAGGGCTGCTTGCAGACCCCCCTGAGAAAGAGGTTGAAGGCATCTAAAGACAGAAAATTGTGCAGTCCACTGTCTTAGTTCCAGTGACTGTAACAAATTTTCAGAGACTGGGTGGCTTAGACAACAAACATTTACTTCTCAGTTCTGGAAGACCAAGATCTAAGTGCCAGCCTATTTGGTTACTGGTGAGAGCTCTCTTCCTGGTTTGCAGATGGTCATCTTTTATCCTCATATGGTGGAGAGAGGAAGCCAGCTCTCTCGTGTCTGTTCTTTTTCTTTTTGAGAATATGCTATTTTAAAATTTTATGGGTACATAATAGTTGTACATGTTTACAGAGTACGTGTTACAAGTATATAATGTGTCATGATGAAATCAGGGTAATTGGAATATTCGTTGCCTTAAACATTTATCATTTATTTGTGTTGAGAACATTCCAAATATACTTCTCTAATTATTTTGAAGTATACCATAAATTACTGTTAATTATAGTTGCCCTATTGTGCTACCAGATCACTAGATCTTATTTCTACTATCTAACTGTATTTTCGTATCTATTTTCTATATAGGCACCAATCCCATCACGAAAGCTTCACTATCATGATCTAATTGCTTCCCAAAGGCCCCACCTCCTAATACCATCACATTGGGGATTAGGGTTTCAACATATAAATTCTGGAGAGACACAAACATTCCATACATTGCAGTAAGTATGCCTGGAGCAGCCAGCTTGCTCTATCTGATCAATTCTGTGTGAGTATCTGGTAGCTAAGTGATTCTGGATCAATCAGGTACCTCTATTTGTCTCAGGTTCCTATCTATAACACAAAGTGAGAATAAACATTTCCACCTATCGAGGATTCAGAATGGCTTCCCTGGAACTGCTTGTTGCTGGCTTGGGCAATGTTTTACATGGAAACAAACATAATCACATACTTTGACCCAGGAGACAAATTGCAGTTAAGCCATCAAAACAAAACCAGAAGGGAACCTTCTGAAAAAGAAATTCAGTAAGTAAATATGTTCTCTAAATAGAAAAGTAATGAGCACGGTGTGTAGAGAAAACCATGCCAATTCTAAGAAATAAGTTAATATATTCTTTAGCTGGAACCAGGAAATCAGAGAAATATAAAGTCCCAGCACAAAAACGTGCAAGATAATTTGATAAACTATTCCCTGACACGAAAGTAACTACACTTAGAACAGCAAGAAGAAATATAAGGGAATGCAGCAAAAGCAAACAGGCTAAAATAAAGCAAGAGGGATTGCAGTGAGATACATGGAAAAACTTCGAGATCATCGTAGGGATAAGAACTAAGCTCGGTTTTGTTTTGTTCTGGGGAGGATTTCTTGTCCAAATTCCTTTCTAGGGGACTTGGGGAGTCATGTCCTAAAAACCATAAATTCTCATCAGATGGGTTTTATTTAACCCCGTATATCATAATTACTTTCCAATCTGACCCTGGCATAACAACAGAAAAAAATCTAAATGTTTTACCCCAAAATATAGTTCCTTGCCATACCTTGGAAGTGGGAAAAATCCACATTCTATAGAGAATCTCCTTTCCCGCTTTGTTTTCCTTCCTTCCTTTCCAGATCCAGGAGATAATCAACTAAGAGCCAGGCATCCTTTTAAGTCCCCTAAGAAACATTTTACAACCTGCTCCCTCTGAAGTCTACTAAGAGCTTCCTCTGCACATTAAAACTTGGTCTCCACAATCCTTTGTCTTAACCTGAACGTTTCCTTTGATCCTAGGTCTTCAGATATACTCAACAAGTTGTAAACCAGAAAGTGTTTAAATTTACCTATAGCCTGGAGGCCCTCCCCATTTTGAGTTGTCTCGCCTTCTTGAATGAAACCAATGTATTTTTTAAAATTTTATTTATTACACTTTGGTTCTGGGACACATGTGCAGATCATGCAGGTTTGTTACATAGGTATACACGTGCCATGGCGGTGTTTTGCTGCATCCATCGTCCCATCATCTACATTAGGTATTTATCCTAATGCTATCCGTCCCCAATCCCCCTACCCCCTGTTATTCCTCCCCTAGCCCCCTACCCCCCTTGATTGATGTCTCATGCCTCCCTAAAATATATAAAAGCAAGGTGTACCTTGACCACCTTGGGCACAAGTTCTGAAGACCTTCTGAGGACTCTGTCACTGGCCACGGTCACTCATATTTGGCTCAGAATAAATCTCTTAAAATATTTTAACATATTTTAAAGAGTTTGACTCTTTTCGTCAACAGGTATAAACTGTTGATCCAAGGAGGCATAGAACCTATTACCCACAGATATTCAGAAAAATGATACGTATTTCTATTTAGTTTCCTAACTGCACAATAAAGGGAGCTTTCTGATAGTCAGAGTTTTTTTTGTTTTTTTTTTTTAATTGGAGTCCCACTCTGTCACCAGGCTGGAGTGCAGCGGCGCGATCTTGGCTCCCTGCAACCTCTGCCTCAAGGGATTCCCCTGCCTCACCCTCCCAAATAGCTGGGACTACAGGCGCGTGCCACCATGCCCTGCTAATTTTTCTATTTTTAGTAAAGATGGAGACTCATCATGTTGGCCAACATGGTCTCAATCTCTTGACCTTGTGATCCTCCCACCTTGGCCTCCCAAAGTGCTGGGATTACAGGGGTGAGCCATTGTGCCTGGCCTCAGAGTCTTTTAAGAAAAACAAAAATCTCTTAATACACATTTGATCCCTCAAAAATGTTTTTAATGGTTTTATATAATAATGACTACTATTTTCCTAGGGTTATAGCAATAAGTATATTATGATGATTATTATCATTCCATAGAAAAAGATTTACTAATATTTTTGAACATCTCTTGGGTACCACATAATTTTCACATATGAACACACGTAACCACCTGTAAGGAATAAGAAGCCTGAGATGCAGTGCATTCGAGTAATCTTTCTATTTCATATGGCTAATCAGTGATATGACAGGAATTCAAAGCAAGTTTGGCTGATTTCAAAGCCCAAATTCTTACCACTACACTGAACTGCCTGAAATGTACAAGGCTTACATTTACAGGTTATGCTCTCTCAAGCTCCTGGAGGGCAGTGGCTTTGTATTTGACTTCTGTCTTTTCACATCTGCCCCTCCTCATCTAATCAGTCAGCTGATCTGGTTTCTCCTCCTCCTAAATATGTTTTGAAGGCATAAATTTCTCTACCTCCTCAACTCCATTACCTTCCAGCCAGCCACCACTGTCCTTTATAAGAAGCATGAAGGCTACTTACTACCTTGCTCTGCCTCTAGGCTTGCCTTTTCATAGTCAACTTTTTGTAGCTAGAGACAGCTTTCTAAAATGCAAATCTGATCAGGTTGTGCTCTTCCCTAAAACTCTTCTATGGTTTCACATTGCCTCCTGCAATGAACTGCATTCTTGTGTCCCCTCAAGTTCCTATGTCAAAATCCTAAACCCACATGTGATAGTATTAGGAGGTGAGTGGGTCCTTTGGGAGGGGATTAGGTGATGATAATGGTGCCCTCACGGATGGAATGAATGTCCTTATAAAAGGGAACCCAGAGAGCTCTCTCATGCCTTTTCCACCATGTAAGGATATAAAAAGAAGTCAGCAGTCTCCAACTGGAAAAGGGTCCTCACCAAAATCATGCTGACACCCTGATTTCAGATTACCAGCCTCCAGAACTATAAGAAAACAATTCTGTTGTTTAAAAGCCACCTACTCTATGATATTTGTTATAACAGCCCAAGGTGACTAAGACATCTCCCAATGCCCTCTACACTCATAATGCAGTTCCCAGCTTTTGCTCTGCTATCCTTCTGCCAGTAAGGACATTGCCCACAAACTTCACCAGGCTAACCCCTACCTGTTGTATGCAGCTCCCCTGGTTTCAGTTTTGATGCTGCCTTCTCATTCTCCTTGATTGCCCATAGCTGCACTTGAGACTCCTTCTCTATACTCCTACAGCACCCTGTGCAGGTCCCTTCTAGTGCTCACCACACTGTGTCATATATTTGGCTACTGATTTGTTTTCTCCACAACAGGACTAAACGCTGTTCAAAAGCGGTGACTGTGACCTTTTCATAAATGACTCCCCAGCAATTCACAAGTTAACTTCCCAATAACTGTACGAATGAAAAAAAAAATGTATGGTAAAATCTGGACTCTAAATCAGTGCTTAATAACTGCTCCCTGGCTAATAAATGCATTGGAAAGACTGTGTAGGACCTGCTCCAGATTAACTGACCTGCAACACAAAGGATTCTCTTCTCTCTAGGCACTCAAGCTTGACTTCAGACAGCAGAGTGAAAGGCCTTACTAGGGCTTCCAGAAATAGAGGATGGGAAATGTTACTCCTTTGAAAGCAGAAAAAGAATGACCTGTGGCTGCCAGGTCATTCTTCCTGTTCCTGTGTCCCAAGAATAATTGAGGCTTTTGGTTATCCACCATAAACAAATATGACAACAGATTAATTTTGATTTAAGGTTATGAAACAGAGCAAGGGTATTGGTACATAATGTCCACTTTAATGTCACAGCCCAAGGATAAGGAGGATAATTTAATTTGTTTTCTCTGGAAGTTCAGCTCCCCAAAGGGAAAAAATATTCAACCTTAGGGCATCTCCTCCATCAGCTGTTTTTCTCTGGTTCTTTCTGTTCCTTGGGTGGAGAGGGGAGGTGAGCATTTATCTTTCAAAGACTGCTAGATAATGCTGTTAGGAATGTAAGAGAGTTAGCAGAGAGGGACAGAGGACAAGCAGTGCTTTTAAAGGGGGAAAAAACCCATATGTTCCATTTCAATTTCATAAGTGTCTCAGGATGTGTCTTTAAGAAAAGGAAAGAAATGGCAATTTATATGGTCATTTAGATGCTACAATTGCCTGTCTTTCTGTGTGTAAAGAGGTTCTGTGGAGGCAGAAGATGACTGAGAGTCCAGCATAGGCTCCCACATGCCACCCCAAAAGAATTTGTGTATTCGTTGGTCTGACCCTGACTCTCCGTGGTTCCCTGTGTCACACTCACCGCCCTGCATCAGAAGCTCTGGGACTTTAGAAATTAATAAAGTGAATAAAACAGGAAGAAGAGAAGATCCAGCAATAGGGGAGGGGGGGTCACTGCAAATACAATAGCAAAAGCAGGAGGAGGAGAACAGAGTTCCAGGAATTAGCAATGATTTTAAAAAATTGAAATACTGTACACAAAATAAACAAAATGCTAGGTGATCAAACTTATTCACTAAAATGAATGACTGAAGTGTTCTGAAGGTCTTGCTAGTTCTTCAAGTAACACAAACAAATCCACTGCCTCTTAGGCTGTGTGGAAAAATGTTATTATCTTAACACATCTTTTTTATTAAACAGCATATAAGCAGATTTTTATTTTAAAAAATTCCTTTCTGACAGCCTTATTTTTTTCATTTTAGGCTATGTTTTATTGTCCAGCATATTTACGCTTATGAATTTTTACCACAACTACAACCACAGGCTTAGAGACAGAATTTTTTTTCTATTTTTTTAATATATATATTTTTAATTGACACATAATCGTACATATTTGTGCAGTACAACATGAAATTTTGATATATGTATAAGATGTGTAATGATCAAATCAGGGTAATAGCATATTAATCACCCAAACCTTTATTATTTCTTCTTGTTGGTAACATTGAAAATCCTCCCTTCTAGCTATCATGAAAAAATACAGTATTTTACAATAGTCATCCTACAGGGCTAAAGAACACTAGAACTTATTTCTCCTATCTAGCTATAGCTTTGTATCCATTAGCTAGCCTCTGTCCATCCTCCCCTTACCCTTACCCTTCCCAGCCTCTAATACCCACAATTTTACTCTCTATTTCTACTTCTATTCTCAATCTCTCAATTCTACTCCTATGAGCTAACTTTTTTAGCTCCCACATATGAATGAGAACATGTGGTATTTATCTTTCTGGACCTGACTTATTTTACTTCAAATGATGTCCTCCAGGCTAATCCATGTTGTGGCATATGACAGGATTTAATTATTTTTTATGGCTGAATAGTACTCTATTGAATATATATATCATCCAGGATTGTTGCAGAGGTACATACATGGCAAGGTGGTTTGCTGCCTCCATCCCCTCATCACCTATGTCTGGCATTTCTCTCCATGTTATCCCTCCCCACCCTCCCCACTCCCTGTTCTCCCTCCCCTAGCCCCCCCAAAAAGACCCCAGTGTGTGATGCTCCCCTCCCTTTGTCCATGTGTTCCCATTGTTCAACACCGGCCTATGAGTGAGAACATGCGTATACCACATTTTCTTTATCCATTCATCCTCTGATGGACACTTAAGTTGATTCAATATCTTAGCTATTGTGAATAGTGCTGCAACGAACATGGTAGTGCAGATATCTCTTCCACATACTGATTTCATTTTGTATAGACATATACCCAGTAGTGGGATTGCTAAATGATATGATAGGTCTAGTTTTAGCTTTTTGAGGAAACTCCAAGCTGTTCTCCATAGAGATGGTACTAATTTACATTCATGCCAACAGTGTACAAGGGTTCCCTTTTCTCCACACTGTCGCCAGTATTTGTTATTTTCTGTCTTTTTTGTAATCGCCATTCTAACTGGGGTAGTATAGTCATTTTAACAATATTTTTCTTCCAATCTATGAATATAGAATGTCTTTCCATTTTTTATGTGTCTTCTTCAGTTTATTTTATTATTTATTTTTTTATTTTTGTTTCTCATGTCCAGTGGTGCTGGATTCCTTTGTTAAAGTTATTCCTAGGCTTGTAGCTATTGTAAATGGGATTGCTTTCTTTATTTCTTTTTCAGCTAGTTTCTTATTGATGTACAGAAGTAGTACCGATTTTTGTATGTTGGTTTTTTATCCTGCAACTTTACTGAATTCGTTCATCAGTTCTAAGTCTTTTGGTAGAATCTTTAGATTTTTCAATATATAAAATCATGCTGTCTGCTAACAGGGACAATTTTATTTCCTCCTTTACACTTTTGATGCCTTTTCTTCCTTTCTCTTGCATAATTGTTCCGGCTAGGCCTTCCTAAAGTGCTATCTTAGAGAGAAAACTTTCAACTTTTACACATTCAGTATAATGTTGGCTGTGGGGTATTGTACAGTTTTCAAAGTTCCTCTTGTTGTTCATTTCTAGTTTTATTACACTGTGGTCAGAAAAAAATACTTGATATGATTTCAATTTTTTTAACATGTTGAAGCTTGTTTTGTGGCCTAGCATATGATCTGTCATGGAGAATGTTGCATGTGCTGATGAGAAGAATATGGGCTGGGTGTGTTGGCTCATGCCTATAATCCTAACACTTTGGGAGGCTGAGGCTGATGGATCACTTAAGGTCAGGAGTTTGAGACCAGCCTGGCCAACATGGCAAAATCCGTCTCTACTAAAAATACAAATATTAGCTGGGTGTGGTGGCACGTGCTTGTAATCCCAGCTACTCAGGAGGCTGAGGCACAAGAATGGCTTGAACCAGGAAGTGGAGGTTGCAGTTAGCCAAGATCGTGCCACTGCACTCCAGCCTGGGTGACAAAGCAAGACTCCATCTAAAAAAAGAGAAAAAGAAGAATGTGTGTTCTGTCATTGTTTTATGAAATATTCTATAAATGTCTGTTAATTCCATTTCATCAGTAGTGCAAGCTAAATCTGATGTTTCTTTGTGATTTTATGTCTAGGATTCACCCACTGCTGAGAGTGAGGTGTTGAAGTCCACAACCATTACTGTATTGGGTTCTATCCCAATATTTGCTTTATATGTCTGGGTGCTCCAGTGTTGGGTGCATATATATTTATAATTGTTATATTCTCTAGCTAAATTGATCCCGTTATTATCATTTAGTGAACTTATTTGTCTCTTTACAGTTTTTGACTTAAAGTCTTTTGACTTAAAGTCTATCTTACCTGATATAAATATAGCTACTCTTGCTCATTGTTGGTTTCCATTTTGTGGAATATATTGATGCATTCTCAAAGGAGAAAAATAAAAGTTGTCACTTTTGTTGGTTGGACTCTTTAGCTCTAAGCTAGCTAAGGCAAAACATGGCAAAAAAATATGTATGAAGCACAGATAAAAGCAATGGCAATATCTAAAAATGAAGATTGTATAGACAAGATTAAAATGATCAGATAGTGGCCACCTCTTCCTAATTTTGGAGTGAAATGGGCTTTTGACATAGTAGGTATTCGGGATGAAGGAAGAGCCCAGCTTACGGAATGCTTTCCACTGAAGTGAAACCTTAAGAATCTTTACTAGCAGGTATAAACAAAAAAAAATTATAGCATTTTTCCACATTTATATTTTGCCTAATCAGTCAAATAAGTGCAGTTTACTTAATGACACAATGAGTGTCATCAGTTTGGTAGCATAACATTTTCAACATCGTCATCAAATCTTATCTAGGTGGCAATGAGGAGTTAAGGGGATTATGAAGATGAAACATTCCCACATACCCTAAGGCATATTCATATCTAAAAAACAGAAAGCATTGGCCTTTTTTTACTCTAGGTCAAACCTGCAGAAAAAGAATTCCGTAAGGAGAAATAGGTGGCCAGTCATGACAGTAGTTTGAGGCCTAACAGCCCCTGCTTAAGCATATCTTTCATTTGAGGCCATGTGTTTAAAGTTCTAAATATCAAGAGTCATAGTCTTTCCACCCCTCTATGTCAAAAACACTATTATTAATACAGAAAGTAATTCCACAGGAAGATGATCAGTAACTTTTACCTAAAGCAAATGACTTGGGCCAGGCATGGTGGCTCAAGCCTGTAATCCCAGCACTCTGAGAGGCCAAGGGGGATGGATCATTTGAGCACAGGAGTTCCAGACAAGCCTGGGCAACATGATGAAACCCTGTCTCTAATAAAAATGCCAAAATTAGTTGGGTGTGGTGGCATGTGCCTGTAGTCCCAGATACATGCCGGGTCTGAGGTTGGAGAATCACTTGAGACCAGAAGGTTGATGCTGCAGTGAGCTGAGAT